GATGGCAGAAAAAAATGAGAAAGGAAGAGGATGGGTTCAATTTTATTTAGTGAACTAGAGGCCCAGTGCATGAAAATTTGTGCACTGGGGGTCCCCTCAGCCCGGCCTGTGCTCTCTCACAGTCCAGGAGTCCTCAAGGGATGTTTGACTGATGGCTAAGTCATTGTCAGACATCCTTAGTGCTGCCACAGAAGCTGGAGAGGCTCCTACCACTGCTGCTGTGCTCACCAATGTGATTGACTTTGTTTCATATGAATATTTTAGTCACTGAGACTTGGTTTGATTGACTTTGTTTCATTGTTTCAGAGCTATCAACAGGCAGGCATTTAAGTCCATTTATTGTGAATACCAGGCCTAGGCCATTTCCTGGTTTTAAGGGACACAGATAGGTGCAGTAGTAAATTCAGAGCATTATAATACCACCTACTGTAATGTGAGAAATAGACAGATATTTACTTAAATCATCTAAAATTCTACCCAGATCTAAACATCAAAATAGTAAGAGAAAATGGGAAAAATTCAGTGACCTCATAGTATTATTAAAGAATACCAGTAAATATAGTACTGTACTCCTAATTATCTGATTATTAAGGAACTAGAGGCCCAGTGCATGAAATTCATGCACTCGGGTGGGAGGAGTCCCTCAGCCTGGCCTGTGCCCTCTTGCAGTCTGGGAGCCTGCGGGGGAATGTCTGACTGACAGCTTAGGCCTGCTCCCCATGTGCTCACCAGCCAGACTGCTCAGTTTGCTGCTCCTTAGCACTGCCACAGAGGCAGGAGAGGCTCCTACCACTGCTGCTGCACTCGCCAACCGTGAGCCTGGCTTCTGGCTGAGCAGGGCTCCCCCTGCATTGAGCGGGATTGGGCCAAAACTGACTCTCTGACATCCTCCAAGGGGTCCTGGATTGTGAGAGGGCACAGGCCAGGCCAAGGGACCCCACCTGTGCACGATCAGGGCCTGGGAGGGATGCAGGAGTTTGCCCAGTCAGGGAGGGACCATGGGAGGGACCAGGGCATGTCCAGCCCATCTTGCTCAGTCGCAATTGGCTGGACCCCAGCAGCAAGCTAACCTACTGGTCAGAGCATCTGCCCCCTGGTGCTCAGTGCACGTCATAGCGAGCACTTGGGCAGCCTTAGCATATCATTAGCATATTATGCTTTGATTGGTTGAATGGATGACTGGACGACTGGACACAGCATTTTCGGCTTTTATTAGTATACTAGTGACCCAGTGCACAAAGTTTGTGCACATTAAAAGGGAATTAATTAGAGGAAATATTTTCATATTGCTATTTGCCCTTTCTCTATAATAGAAATGTCAGAGATGAAAGAAAATTAGTAAAATGTATATGAAAATCTTCCTCCTGTCAGAGTCTGGGGTGCACCATGGGACCCAGAGTCAAGTCCCCGCCCACCCGCACACGCCTCGAAATCGCACGAGACCTAGACCCAGCTGGCCCCACTCCCGTTGGGCGAGATGCAGACCCAGCCGGTCACACCCCCATCAAGCCCCACCGGGTGGGGAGCACAGCCTCCGGTCCCCCAGCCCAGCGCCAGGCGGGGTCCCAGCCTCAGGTCTCCCGTCAAGCCCCACTGGGTGGGGGCGTTACAGCCTCAGGTCCCCCACCCCGGCCCAGTGCCACGCAGCCTCAGGTCCCTGCTGATCACTCGTTACGGGAACCCCACTTCCGCTGTGGGCACAGCTATCTTGTGATGGCGTGAGGATTAATTTGCATATTACCTCTATTATATAGGAGAATAGGATTATATTAATTTTCTACTTTTACTGAACACAAACATAGAAATAGATAAATATACTTTTGTAGATATAGATATAGATTCAGACACAGATGGTGATATACTACCACTAAAACTAGAATGAACCAGAAAATTCATGAGCTATTCTTTAAGAAATATTCTAATTTTAAAATGCATTATATAAGTAAGCTGGTTGATAGGTGTTACTATGTGATGCGATGACTTTTGATTTAAATGACAACCAAATTCAAAAGGTAGAAATGAAATATGAACACAATCATTTATTAATGGCCAGTCATAGTTTATAAATAAGGCAGGACTTGAGCTAAGCAAGTAAACCATTAGCTTTGGGTTGCTTTATATGGATTGCCTTTTACCCTTGGCCTCTCTTCCGTGGATTGTGATCTTTCACCTTTACTTCACTGGACAGCAGTAGGATATGACATCCTCTCCAAATTCAAAGACCTTATGGTTTACATCAGTCACCTAAAGAAGTAAGGAGTTTGACAAGTCCTTAAATTTATTCTGTGTTGTAAATTATCAAGCTAAAATTATCATGATTTATTGTCTCTAAAATGCATTTTTATTTTATAATAAATATTGGGTTTTTATATTATTATAAGTTATACTTTTCTTTAAGTAGGCAATTAAGTTTATTCATATTTAGGAAATAGATGGCTTTGAAGTCCATTTATTATATCATATAATGACCAAAACAAAACTATAAATGAGGCAGAAATAAAACATAAGTTTCATGTGGCAGGGATGGGAGAAGCACCAACAGCCAGATACCCCAAAATAATTATAAAATATGGTGTCAGGCAATAGGTGGTGACCTATGCATATGGAGTCATTGAGGAAATTCAGTAATATGCCATCAGCTGTCTGGACAGATGGATGAAGCAGGTAACTGGACCCCTCAAGTCAGCTAATAGGTAGAATTGCAGGCAGATGGTGGCTGTCATTCAAGTGACCCAACAGCAGGTCACAGAACTCCAGTCCCTACAGATATTTACCTAAAGCAAAGCAGAGACTCGAGTCTGTAAGAATCTGTGTAATGAGGAGTTTATAACGGTAGGAATTTGGGAGAAAGGGTGAAAAAAAATCACAGAACTGCCTTGTACTTGCCAGACCAAAGCTGGGCATTAATATAACAGCTCCGTGACGTAAATATGTCTACCAACTTTTGAGAGATAATGTATCTGAGGCTCAGAGAAGTGAAATAACTTACCCTGGCCAAGGATAGTGGTGAAATGGGGCTTCAAACCCAGGTAATCTTACTGTCATAGAATCCTGCAATCAACAGGTGAGCAAGGGAGCAGAACATCAACAGTTGGAAATACAGCACCTATTGGAGCCACTTGCAGCTAGAGTGAGGATGCTGAGTCAACCAATGATTGGTCTATATTTCCTAAAATTATCCCTAATACAGGTTAAATAGAGCCCAGAAGCTGAGGCAGAACTGGCTAAGAATCTGTGTAATGAGGAGTTTATAACGGTAGGAATTTGGGAGAAAGGGTGAAAAAAAATCACAGAACTGCCTTGTACTTGCCAGACCAAAGCTGGGCATTAATATAACAGCTCCGTGACGTAAATATGTCTACCAACTTTTGAGAGATAATGTATCTGAGGCTCAGAGAAGTGAAATAACTTACCCTGGCCAAGGATAGTGGTAATCTTACTCTCATAGAATCCTGTAATCAACAGGTAAGCAAGGGAGCAGAACATTTTCCCTAATACAGGTTAAAATAGAGCCCAGAAGCTGAGGCAGAACTGGCTTTCAGGTCAAAGGTCAAATGATTGCAACTGCAGAGAGGGAGTCTGTGGATGCAGGAAGCCAGATAGTCCTTGATTCCATTCATGTTAACCTAAAAACAAACAAACAAACAAACAAAAAAGCGTAAAGGCCTCAAATGACAACATTGTTTAGCTTTAATATTTTAGTTAAAATGTATACCTTCTTAACAATAGATAAATCAATGTAAAGAGATCTTAAGTATTAAAAGGAATAATTCCAAGCAACGAAGTATCATATGGCAATACTATGGAGTTCAAATGAGCTTTGCTTGTTCCCTGCCTAAGTACATAATCAATATGTTGTTAAGTACTAATAAATACTGAATCTGGTATTCATCTTTTTTTAACTCTTCATGAAGAAGCGTGTGCTGCATTATTTGCTAAAATAGCTCTCCCTGAATTTATGAAGCCTGTAACTGAACTTTAAAGCGATTACAAATGAGAGGCTGTCCTGTATGTTGGGAAATAAGAATGATAAA